TCTGTCTGTCAGGAAAAATAGGTTGCTTTGTGCTCTGTAACAAGTATTTTCTCATGATGTCAAAAAAGATGTCTTGACACTCATGATCTAAACATTCTGTATGAATGTGTGTGTGACCATATCTCTTTGTGTAAGCTAGCTGCACTGATATGGTACAGATTCTGCGTGGCTTTCTACAGGCGTTTCTGATACATTTATTATGGATCAGATTGGATTTGATTTGAAGATATTTTCAGAAGATTGTTTGAAGATTGGGATATTGATTTGATTGGATCTGATTGATCAAATCAAATCTGGATGATTGCTGCTATTTATGAAGATTGAAATCTTCTCTTCCTGCTGTTACTTTTGCCACAGCCCAAGCCCATTCTGCGTTGTTATTTAAGGAGGTGAAACCCTAGCTTGAAGATTACATAAGCAAGGATTAAAAGTGTGTGCATTTGTTTAAAGTTTAAGGCTTCATGGTTATTTTTGTAAGCCATTCACTCATTGTTTAATGTGTGAATTGGACTAGGTTGTTATTTGTAAATTGTTAATTGTTCACTCAAAGCTTTTAAGCAAGAGTGTATGGTACTTGGTTGAAGCTTTTAAGCAAGATCAAGTTGTGACTTTGAAGAGTGTCTTCTAAAGTCTTTTCTTTGTATTGAAAGTTATCACCATTGTGATTGAGGGGGAGTGAGAGGTGTCTCTTGTCTAGTGGGTTCTAGGCAGAAGTTGCATGGGTAGAGATTAAGCGAGGAGTTGTAAACTGGGAGTTTAGCTCTGAATTAATTCTACTGTTAGTGGATTTCCTCCCTAGCTTGGTAGCCCCCAGATTCAGGTGTGTTTTCACTGAACTGGGTTAACAATTGTTGTGTCTCTTTACAATTATTTGTGTTTATCTTTGTTCTTATTATACAAATATTTGTGTCAGGAACATTTCCTTCGACGTATAATATCTGATACCAGAATTTCACTACTTGTTAGGGAAGCGGCTGTCGAGGTCGACGAAGTTGATGCAGGGGAACGACTTCTCCTCCTCAGTCCGAGCTAGCTTGTCGGCATTCTTGGGCGCGATGTTGATCGAGTTGAACCCCTTGATGGCCGTTTTGAAACATCTTTTAGCCGCTTCGATGTCTCCGTGGAAGGTGACTACTCGACCCCTGGTCATGTAGTACTTCATCTTTAGGTGCACTATGGATGGCACCATGGTCAGCTCGACCAGGGTCGGCCTTCCCATAATGCATTGATACAAGGAGGGACATTTTATCATCGGGAAGTGGACCATGACCTGTCACGCCGTCTCTTCAGATTCGAAGGTGACAAGGAGCTCCACATACCCCCATGGCCTCGTGGTGGTACCATTGAAGCCCTACAAGTCAGAGCCGACATACGGCGTTAGATGGCTCTCGTCGAGCTGGAGAGTGGTGGAAAGGTGGGCGTACAAGATGTCCACTGAGCTTCCTTGGTTGACGAGAATGTGGCGGACGTCAAAGCTCGCCATATGAGCCCTAATCAGTAGGCGTATGTTAGAGTTAGGGGCGCCGCCAGGCAGCTCCTTAAGGTAGAAGGTGATCGGGTTTGGGTTTTCCTTGAACTTTTCAAGGGTGACATTCTGCTTTGAACTCTTATTGATCATCTCCGCAAATTTCCTTTTGATCAACCCTATTGAAAGCTAGTTGGGCCCCCCGTAGGATATGACCATAATGGTTGGGAAGTTCTCCCAAAGGCTGCGAGAAGACAACATTGTGTTGGCCTTATAGAGGAGGTAGCAGTCCCCTGGCCGGGAGATGTACAAAGCGACTTGGAGCCCGGTCTCGCCGGAGGGTGGTATCACATCCTCGACTTTCTTCACCTCGCGAGTTTCCTGTCGAGGAACCTCACTCCTCCGAGTGTATTGTTTCAGGTGCCCCTCATTGATTAGGATTTCGATGGCATCTTTGAGGTGGATGCAATCTTCCGTGACGTGTCTATGACTTCTGTGGAACCGACAGTACTTGGACTTGTCGACGTTGGGCTTAGGGGGTGTTGGCTTCAGGAAGCGGACACCACCTCTTTGAAACTTCGAGTTTATGCACTTGGCCAGAATGTGCTCGCGTGGAGCTGTGAGTAGCGTGTACTTGGTGAATCGGCCAGCTGACCCCCTCTGCTCCTGGGAATCTCGGGGCCGATCTTCTCTTCTTCTCTCACTGCCTCGTCGGGGAGCGGTTGATTCTCCGTCCCTGAAATTTCTGGCACTCTCCTGATTCCGCAAGTCATAGGTGCAGTTGGCGGCCTCCTTCTCCTCGTACTAAATGTAGGCTTGGGCCTTGTGGAGTAGCGTGCCTAGCGTTTTAGGCCTTTCGATGCCGACGGCCTTGGCTAACTCAGTTTGAGGTCGCAGTCATCATTCAGTCAAATATCTCTTCATGTCATATGAGGTGGCTACTTGTACAGCTTCTCGGTTGAATTTCTCTATGTATTCACAAAAAGATTCTTCCTTCCCTTGGATGATGGCTTCCAGGGATGCTTCCGCCTTTGGGTGTCATCGAGAAGCAGTGAAGTGCCTGGATTCAACTCTCTTCAAGAGGTGATGGATTTGGGCTCAAGGCTCTTATACCACGTCATCACGCCTTTCCTTAAGGTCGTGGAAAAGAGCATACACTTGATGGCTCCCCGGACGTTCCTGTAATCGAGCATCGCGTCGATGCTTTCATTGTGTTCGTTCGGGTCGGTCGTAACATCGTAGGTGGCCAGTACTGTGGGTTTCTCCATCCTGACGGGGAGGCGAGGTTCTCTGATAGCCCTGGACAGCGGAGTGTGGGGGTCGTCCTCGTCGCTTCTGATGGGATATTACAAGCGGGACGGGTTGTACTGAGGGCTCTTGCGGCATGGAGGGCTCCTTAGATGACTTTTTGGTTTCCCAGTCTGTCCATCGGCTCTGCTTCTCTTGGGAGCCGGAGAGTGTCGCTCTTTCCGGGAAGAAGAGTGGTCGTACTTCTAGGTGGCACGAGATGAGGCCTTTCCAGTCGCGGACGACGCCCAGGTTTCCGCGGAGAGGGACTCTGAGACTCATCATGTTGCAGCCTCTGTGGGGGAGGGGAATGACGGGCTTCTCGTCGTCGTGGGGACGGGCTATGAGAAATTGGGCTCGATGTCTCCTTGGGGGAGAGCATGATTGTCGGTCCTTTTCCAACATTTCGATTCACTTATTCTATTGAAAGATCACCATGTTTGTTTGATTGATTACCGCGAATAGAGCCACCATGGTCGGGTCGGTGTTGGGTGGCACCGGGATTGGTTAGAAGACAGTTGGGCTAGCAAAGCATCAGGCGACATTGAAGGCTGTATCGTCGAGGGAGGGTGAGGCGGTGTGTCCATCCCTGGCGTCGCCTTCCTCGGCGTGAACGATCACGTTAGGATTGTGATCGTCGCCGTTGGTGAATGGGGTGAAGGCGGCTTTATGGACGTTGTTGTCATTGCGTGGGTTGACCATGATCAACGGAGGTTGAGGTATGCTTTGGTTCTTGCATTTCTTCGGAAAGAAGAATGCGGAAGGAAGATTCCCATAGACGGCGCCACTGATCTTACCGGATCAGAAAGGGATCAGCAGCCAGCAACACGTCGTGAGCTTCTTAATTCGTTGGTGGTGGAGAAGAGGATGACATGTACCTGCAAGGTACTCCGATGTCAAAGTATGAGACGGAGTAGAAAGTGCAAGTACAAAAAAGGTATGTAGGGAATAGAATATCTGACCCTCTAGTGAAAAAGGGTATTTATAATGTGCCCCCATCGCTGGGCTAACGGTTACTTTGCACTGGGTTGGATTGCAAGGCCCAATACGAGTAACTTCCAAGACTTACGTGGCGTAGGGAAGACCAGCACGTGGTCTTAGCCCTGAGTCAACTGCCCCGGGACCTTCGGGAGGTGGGTAGTTGCCTGATGACGTGTTCCCGCGTGGGGAGCACATGGAGTCTATAGGGGAGACGTGTGAGAGCTCCCCTTATGTGCTGATGGATTGGGCCCTCCCTGACGAGGAGCTGGGTGGGGTCGTGCTCGACGGCGGGTCAGCCTCTGGCCCAGTCCAGAACAACTAACTCGATTGTAACACTAAACTCCATTTTGAACGTCTGATCTCAAACAGTGACCCTAACCTAAAATAGGCTGCTCACACTAAAGCGTTTATCGGCAGGTTTCAGATGCCTTTGAAGATAAAGTTTATTGATTGCACGAGATTTGTTGTCATGTGGCTCCATCGTTGAGCATTATCGAATGCTTTGGTCTTCTTCTCCACTAGGATATTGTTGAATCACCTTACTCTATATGCATTTGTCAATCTAATCTCTTCAAAATAGTATTTTGAATAAAATATGAGTATATGCGCCACAGTGATATTCCTTTGGAGCGAATTTTTGTTTGTTTAAAATATGGTAAGTTTAGTATTTTGTTTTTTGAAACTATGGTTATTCTAGATTTTTTTTTAATTGTTACTTTCAAAAGAAAATTCAAATGAGAGATTTGCTGTCTCTTTCAATCATAAGTTGATTTGATGGAATTGGATAAACAATTTTTCTATATTATCCTCTATACAATATTTTTTTTTTCTTGAAACTATTAAATTAGTTGTCATTTTGTTCTTTTCCCATATCAAAGTGTTGGGTGTATTCAAAATCATTTTTTTAGTTATTTTCATATGAAGAATATTTTTAGATTTTAAAAAACTTTTAAAATAGAATTTCACCCAAAAAATTTTAAAAATAAAACGGCATGCATAATACAATCATACCCTTTTACCTTACCCTTTTATTTCAAGTGCTAATAACCTTAACAAACAAATTATTTTCCATCCACACACCAGCATTGTACACATAAAACATGTAGAGACAGATAATCTTAGGAACAAAAGCCAGAAAGTAAAACATGGCTAGAGAGAGCTTGTGCATATATAGCTATGAAACTTTTATTCTACTACTTAGTTGATATATATATATATATGAATATTGAAGAACACCACCACCATAAAGCACTTATATAAAAAGCCATCATGGTTTGGTAGCAGCCGCAGTGGTAACCGGTGGAAAAGTGAAAAGAGGTGGAGGCAACCTGTACTCAGGCCATTCAGTTCCTGGTGGGAAAGTAGGAAACTTGAAGCCTGGAAATTTGCCTACATTAAGAAACTTTAGTGTCAAAAGTTTTCTATTCGCACCACATTGAACCTTGTCAATGCTTGAAAGTGACAAAGCAATTAAAATAGCTATGAAAAAGAAACGGATAGAGGCCATTTGAGTGAGAGAAATTAGACAAGTGAAGTGACAAGATAAGTGCTTGCTCTTGAGTTTTTATAGTCCAGCTTAGAATTTGGAGTTAATTATTTCACACAACTAGAAACCACTTATTTAAAATAAGATAGAAGGAAAATAGTAAATGCTACTAACTGTATTCTCTGTTTATAGTCAAGTCAAATCTCAGCAGGTTGTCTTGGTATGTACCTTATCAAGTTAATAGTTAATAGCATTCAAAATTGGATTACCTTCATTTTAATAGATGTCCCAATTTTTTTATAATTTTTCTTTTATTTAATTTAAAATACTCTCAACTTTTTCATTTATTATATATAAAAAAAATTAACACTTATCAACTTCTTTAATATAAAATTTAGTTTATATAAAGAAAGTAGAGACCGTCATTGATATTTTTGTTGTTTTTTTTTCTTTTATTTTTTAATCCTCTTTATTATGCTACTATTTCTCTTCCGATTGTTTTAAGATTTTAATTCTCTTTTAATTTTTAATTTTTAGTAAAAGATTTTACTTTTTATTGTTTTAACAAATAAAACATATGTTTATATAAACAATTATGCTATTTTATTTTTATATATGTGCATAAAGTGAATTTTATTTTTACTATGAAATTTTTATGTGTGTATAATAAAATTACATTAATAAAATCAAAATTTATATTTATTACCTCCAATGATATAAAAAATAATTAATAATTTTTTAATATTATTTAATTTTTAATGTTTTTAATATTTATATATATTTAAATATAAAAAATATAACAAAAGATATTAAGTGATGGAGGCCTAATTGAAATATCTAGACGTAGCAGGTTGTATTTCTAGGTCTAACACTTTTTAATTCTATATTACGGAAGAAAAAAAAAATACTAAAATCAATCATTAGATTCGGTTGTTAAATTCAATCACAAATTCGTCGACTAAAAATGAATTTTTCGATGCTAAATGAAACCAGTGATTTCTTAATTTTATAGACATAAGAATGAAAACAACTTTAATACATTAAATATTTCACACTTTAATTTTAAATGTTTATTATTTAAAATGAGTTACTAAAAATTCATTGACATATACAATTTATAATGTGAAAATAATTGTATTTCACTAATCAAGAAAATGAGTGACGCACTAAAAGAGTAAATTAATATTTACCTTATTAATTAATAACCACTATACATTCTGTTAAATTAAACTAAATTTTTTAAATAATTTGTATGATATAAAAGTATTATATTTATATTAAATAACACGGAAAACTTTATTCCACCGTCCAATGCATCCCCATTAAATCCCAATAACCAATTATTATATTTTATATATCATAAAAATGAGAATAATATATTACTTAATAATCAATTACTTAGTAGTCAATTACTGAAATTGGTTATGAACTAATACACGAATAATTTATTCAAATAAGTGATTAATCTATTTTCACATTTTATGTTCAATTTACACAATCTAACACTATTCATATATGTTCCATCTATCAAAGTAAAATACTTTACAAACATTTGTAACTCATTAAAATAAAAAACACTAGACCAAATAGTTTTCACATAAAATTTTAAAATAAAATATAATTTTTTTCATCGATACATAAAAATAAACACGCATATTTATCTATAAAAAATATAAATAAAATAAAGAAATAAATATTTATAATTTATTGTTTAAAAACAATTGATATATATTTGACTTTGATAGACAAATTAATATAGAATATATATTTTTCAAAGATAAATGAAATAATATATATATATATATATATATATATAATTTAACAATTATTTTGTATTAGATATTATAAAATATGTGATAAAATTGTCTCTAATAATATACAAAGGTACGTGATAACTTTTTCTCTTTAATAAATATAAAAAATAAGAGACAAATCTTTTTTTACTAATAAATAAATAAATAATACAAATTTCTCGCTTTAAATTAATGAAAATGAATTCTAACAATTTAGTGCACCTATAAAAAAGATGATAATAGAAAAAATCTAATAAAAAGTATATTTAATACTATTTATATTGTTTAATTCAATAAAACTTTATATTATATTTATATAATTATTCATATATATCATCTATTTCATATTTTATAAACCTCGAACATAATATTAATAACAGGAGTTGGTATGTTAGTTAGACTTTATAACCTAATATATGTATCTCAATGGAATATAATAAATAACCTTTGACTCCTTGAACAAGTTATATAGTTTGGTCACACTTTCTTACCTGATGAAATAATGCTTTTCTGTGAGAAGAAAATAAGTTAAGTCACCAAAAAATTAAAATAGTATAAATTAAACCTGATCTACATTAATTTTAAATGTTGCGAAATATTGGTGTGCATTGAACCCGTTTTAATAAGTGAAAACAAAAGTGGATGAAAAAAAGACCCACTTTATGACTTTTTAAAGATGCTATAGGTTTTGTAGTTAGCCATAGCTAAAGATGTATTTTCTCATAAAAGATTAGTAAATGAGTCAGCTTAATGTTGATACAATACAGCTAATATTAAGATTCTGCCTAGTAAATTTGTTAAATTTTACATGCAAATTGTAAAAGGATAATACTACTTTGGTAGTCGGGAGTAAATTTTTTTTAGTTAATCTTCTCATAATCAAGTTAATCTCTTCATAATTAAATAAGTTGTTCTTTCACTTGTTAGGAGAGAGGTTAATTGTTATTTTTCACTTGTAATAATTTAACATTTAGTGTAAAAGTGAATTGATCCGTCGTTATATCTAACTCTATTTTGCCTCTTCACACACACAATCTCTCTCTCTCTCTCTCTCTCTCTCTCTCTCTCTCTCTCTCTCTCTCTCTCTCTCTCTCTCTCTCTAAAAGTGAATTGATCCGTCGTTATATCTAACTCTATTTTGCCTCTTCACACTCTCTCTCTCTCTCTCTCTCTCTCTCTCTCTCTCTCTTCTTGAATTGAACGATTTCATGTATAATGAATAAACTCTCTCTTTCTCACAGTTTTACCTTGTTATTGACATCGATCATCACAACAAACTGGTGCGGTGAGCGTGGATCAAGATGCCTTCAACAAAGCATGATATTGAGAAATTTATTGAAGAAAATGATTTCAAATTATGCATCTTAAAGATGCAAGCCCTTCTTGTTTAACAAGGTCTGCTATAAGCACTGAAGGGATATGAAAATATGGATGATGCCCTAATGAAGAGGGAGAAGACGACGATGATTGCGAAAAATCACAGTGCCATCATACCGAGGCTTGGTGATAAGGTTCTCAGACAGATCTCGAAGGAGAAAACCACAAGACTAATTTGTTGGTCAATCGACTCTACCTAAAGCATGTTATGTATTCATTCAAGATGAGTGAAGACAAAATCTTGATTAAACAATTGGAAATGTTCAACAAGATGATTCTTGATATAGAGAATATTGATGTTAGCATAAATGATGAAGATCAAGCGTTATTGCTGTTGTATGCTTTACCTAGATCTCATGCTCATTTTAAAGAAACTCTATTGTATAGAAAAGAGTCATTAACCTTTAAAGAAGTTCAATCGACCTTGTACTCGAAGGACTTGAACAAAAGAAAGGAGCACAAGCCATCATTTGTTGGTGAATGATTGTCCGTAAAAGGAAAATTTCTCGAAAAAGGATGGTAAGTTTGAGAAGAAGAATGGTAAAGATCAACACAAGTCTTATGGTGGTAATGCTCTTGTTATTAGGTGTTGCCATTCTAAGAAGGAAGGTCATATAAGAAAAGTGTGTCATGATAGGTTGAAGAGTTACAGCGATGACAAGGAGAATGGTAAAGTAATCATTGTTCAAGATGATTACGAATTATCTGATGTCCATGTGGTTTTGAGCATCAATTCTTGCAAGGAATGGATTATGGATTCGAGTTGCACTTGGAATATGATTCCAAACAAAGATGTGTTTTAAGAATTATGTGATCAAGATGTTGGATCAGTGCTGCTGGGAAACAATAAAGCCTGCAAGATTGCAGGGACTGGATCCGTTAAATTCAATCTCCATGATGAGTTAATAGAGTTGTTGAGTGGTGTCACCTATGCACCAGATTTTAAGAGAAATTTGATTTCTCATGGTGAATTCGATAAGAAAGGATATGTTTTCAAAGGAGAGAAATGTATCCTAAGAGTCATAAAAAGGTCGAAGGAAGTCTTGAGAGGCATCAATAGGCAAAGCTTGTATACCATTAAGGCTAATGTTGTAAGTGGTTTAGCAGATTTTGCATCCACAAAGCATATGTTAAAGACGAAGCTATGGCACAAGATATTAGGCCATGTCAATGAAAGGAGCTTGGTCGAACTGGGGAAACAAAATCTGCTAGGTGGTGATAAGGTCGAAAAGATAGAGTTTTGTGAACCTTTGTGTATTTGGAAAAGCTTGCAGAGTGAAGTTCAATAAAGAAAAACAATGAGCACATGGATCTCTTGATTACATTCATACTAATCTTTGAGGGCCTGCAAGAAGTTATTCAGACTCAGGTGCAAGATCTTTCCTATCCATATTTTATGATTACTCACGAAATTTGTGGGTATTCACTCAAAAAACTAAGGATGAAACTTTTGAAAGTTTCAAAAGTTGGAAGACTCTGGTTGAAAATCAAACAGGAAGGAAAGCCAAGAGATTGAGGACCGACAATAGACTTCTATTTTTCAACGAAGCCTTTGAAATTCATTGTGTTATGTTTGTTAATGCTAGGAACATGACTATAGTAGGTACTTCTCAGCAAAATGGTCTGGATGAAATGTTTAATTGTACAATCTTGGAAAGGGTTAGATGCCACGTTGGTCAGTTCTAGATTGACGAATGTGTTTTGCGCTAAGGGTGTCGTAACAACATCATATATGATAAATAGGTGTCATTCGACTGCCTTGGGGATGAAGACATCTGAAGAAGTTTGGTCGGGTCATCCACAAGATCTCGATAATCTTAGAGTATTTGGCTCTGTAGCCTATGCTCACAT